TTACACTTCAGTTTACAATAAAAACACAAACGTAGAGTAACGATCGCTGCGATCGATATACACATGCAGTCGACCTACACGCTCATATGTTCTTCGTGCTGTCCTATCCAGAACAGACCGTCTCGTACCTAAACTGCCGATCGGACAGCTGGGAAGCGCGGCCCGATTGCGTAACGGAGACTATATTCGCCCGGTCGTAAAATGTAATCGCTTCACCGAGCGCAGCCGAGACGCCTGTGTTAAGACCTGCATTATCTTGTAACAACGACTGATAGTAGCGGAATCGCGCGGGTGTCGCGGGGATCATTTTTAGAGCTCGATATGTCCGATGATGATCGCGTCTAGCGTGGCGTATCTCACATCTGAGCCATTTCCTGCATGAAATATGTCAAAACAATGTCATACTATCTACACTCGCGTGTAAAATCGTCTTATCGTATTCCAATTTCATCTACTATTAATGCACATTGGTATCTTTGTTTGTGGTACTCGCGATATCGACGGGTCTCATTGTCGCTATTGATTTTCTCGAGTTTCAAACAAGTTTATATATACTTGAGAAAAAAGCTGTGTTAGATATTTGTACTGCTGTATCGCATGATAAAATAATTATGGTTAGGAGCTCCAGTTTTATAGTTATTACCGCTATAATGTTGGTAATGATTGAAAATAATTTTTTGCTCATTTTTATGGATCACATGTTCTTTTTGAAATATTATAGAACTACACTTGTATACTAATTTAGAACTATAAATATAATTATTACTACTAACATTGTAACTCTAAAAATAAAACTCCTGATCATAACTATTTTACTATGTAATGACAGTTATAAACACCAAACGCTTTTCTCTCAGTGTACATTTCTAGAGGCATTTTTATACACGGCGTTTGTGACACGGGTTCTTTCTTAGCAACTATAATACTTTCACGAAACTTGCCCTGAAGCCTAGAAATATGATTGTTATCTGAGCGTTGCGTTTCAGCAGAAGAATCAAAGAGTTTCTTTCGATCGTCGTTATTATGAATCTCGATCGAATCTAATCTGAATCGATCGCCGATATGATAGCGAGCACCAGGACGCGAATGCGTTCCGATTCGTTCGACATAATTAAACATGCACTCTAGACTAGTCGGTCAGGTTGATCGTTATCGAGAAATTCTCTCGATAACGTGCTCGCGCGCGCGCTCTTGACGGTCCATCCGGAAAGGTCGCGAGACGAGGCGTGCGGATAAAAGCGAAGGCAATGACGGCTTTGTCTCGTTACTGCCGGCAAGCAGTGGCGGCGACGGGGAGGGGAAGGCGAGGAGTCAGCGAGGATGATCCGAGCGTGGCCTGAGCTGAAGATGGAGGCACGATAACGACGACGGAAATTGAATTCTCTCACCAGTCATCCCGCTGCGAAGAGAGTGCATGCACACACGCATCGATTCGCCCTGCGAGTCGTACAAGCCGAGTATCGACGGGCTGCGCGTTGGAAGAAAGAGAGGGAGAAGGAGAGAAAAGGGCGGCAGCAAGCGAGAAAGACAGAAAGAGAGAGAGGAAAGGAAGGAACCCACGGTTCTGTCCTTCCTGTTCCTTTTGTCTCGGTAACGCGGTATAATACGGATGGGTGCACGTAGGCTACCTCGAAAGGCGAAGCCCGCAACGGCCGCTCTACGCAATACCTGCGGCATCAGCGTCGTTTTACCTGCCACGCGAGACAAAACATGGAGACGCTTGTAAAAAAAAAAAAAGAGAGCCTCGTTTTCTCGCGGAGGAAATCTCTATCCGCGTGACGGTTTTATACGAGTTAAGAAATCGCTGAGAGTACCCGCGCGTATACTGGAGATGAATGTTAAAAGTAGATGAAAAATGCTTCACTATAAATCCTTTGACATCGTCAGCAACGCCCAACGATGGAGGAGTCGCTCGTTGACGATTTGTGATAATGGATAATCCTTTTCATTCGCGCTGAATAAAGTTTGAGAGCGCAGTTTGTAATAACAAAGCCATAGGTGGCTCAGAATATATAAATGCAGGTACACTAAAATTCTGATTGCAAGATCTCAGGTAGAATACAAAATTATGATAAAATCAAGATAACATCATGTAGGAGTCGTTTAAAAAAAATCGTCATGTCATTCGACGTTTTTGACGAATTAATTTTGTGACGAAGAGATAAAAATTAAAAATTATCATTGTCAAAAATATCGCCGATATATCGAATAATATCATTATAATATTTTTCTAAAATAACTCCTACTTTATGTAAACTTGACTTTATTATAATTTCTTGAAATTTTCAAAAATACATAAACTATTTTTTATAGCGACTCATAATCTCATAGCGCTCTTATCGCTTTCAAATTCTTACGCGGAAAGAACCACAATTTTGCTGATATCTAAAAGTTTAACCACGAGTAGATACAGAAAATAATTTGTTGAGTCATCAAACTAATTATGCAAAAAACTAAAGCGTGATACTGTAAACACTTTTGATATTCTAGCAACTAGATTGAGTGCCTTACATAACTATTTTCATAGTCCAATAAGATTTCATTTTCAAATCTGTATTTGATTAAATCTTTAGAGAGAGATACTTCAGCAAAACCGTATCCTTACCCGTGTAATATCGATCCGCGTCGCTGTCTGCTTTACTTGACGCAGAAAATGTAATCGTGCGATTTAATTAGCAATTAAATATAAGTGTTGAGAGACGATAATTCCGTTTCCGTTCCATTCGTCGTCGTAAATTTAAATGACGTCTGTGCATGCCTTCCTTGTTTGTAATTGCGTAATACGACGACTTCTAAGCGCGCGTGATCGGCGCGCGAACGCGTGTTTTATTGTCTCCGTGCAGCCTCGAGCATAACCGCCGCCGATGGTCTGGTTAGTAAAATCGTACCTAGGAGCGTGTCCAATCGACATTACGATAATTTATGGCTTAAATAAATGCCCGATCGGTGTACGAGCGTGTACAGGTATCAATTTACATGACGCAACGGATATGTAACCTGATATATCGTGGTGTGGCGGCGGGGTACACAGGCATACCCACGTCCGATGGTTCTCATCGCAACTATTGGCGCAGGCGATACAAAGTAGTGACGCGGGAAAGAAAAAAAGGATTCTTACGTGGGAAAAGGTGCGCGGGATCTGAACTCGACTACTGCTCGGTGAACGAGAAATTTGTCGGTTTAAACCCGATCGACGATTAAATACGAATTATCGCGAACACAAATGAGTTACGCTTCGTTGACGATATAACGAACGTACGCATCGAAATACGAGATTCGTGGATAACCAAATTTGCAAACGCAATTTTGCATCGATTCTGTCCTGAACTCGATGATGAATCCTATATCTAAACAGCTAGTGTAACCAGCCGTCTCCAGTTTTACAGGATTCAATACCGCGTTTAATTGAGATGTATATTTTCGGGATCATTGACTGCTCCGGTTTTTAGCCTGTTTCCTGTATTATTAATATTTATCGTCATCAAATTAGTAACGTGTAACACCACTGTATAATTAACGTAATATTCATGTTTTTAATCATTACAATCATTTTGCAATCGATTTACTTTATTTAAACATCTCATAACAAATCTAAATATCGTGCATAATAGAAAGCAACAAATTTTGAAGTTGACTCCTCCTTTCGCGTGATATATTAGCTGCATGATTGCGTGAGATCCTGAGAAACATTTTTACCGACCATATATTTCGCCTTTAAGATTCAATTATCTCAAATTCTTGTATTACTAATATTTATCGAAAATCGTAATATATATCATTGCCATATAATTAACGTAATTTTCATATTTCTGATCATTACAGATATGCCAATCAATTTCTCAATCAAATTGCTTTACTCAAACATTTCATGACAAATCTAAATACCGTAGAAAGTAACAAATTTTAAAACCAGAATAGTATTGACTTCCTTTTGCAACATTTCGCGTGATACATTAGCTGTGGGATCTCGAGAGCCATTTTTTCCGACTATATGCTTCGATTTTAAGATTCAGTTGTCTCGAACCGAACTCGTCCGACTCAGGAGACGATGGAGTATGATTCTACCGGAATAAGCGACGCTTCCGACGAGTTCAGCGAGAGAGAGAGAGAGAGAGAGAGCGCAAGCAAGCAAGGAACGCGACGCGACGGCCTCACAAAAGGTGAACCCACTTCGTGGATCTGTCGGTCGGCGGTGGCGGTGGCGGCAGAGCGGTGTTCGCTTGCGGAAGGCGGGAGGCGGCCGGAGTACTCTGTAGGTAGGTAGAGAGATATATCGAAGCTCTCTCGGGCGTATTCGGGTAGATTCGTGTGCTCCCGTCGACTGGTGGTGGCCGCCGCGCGCCGCGCACCTCCGCCAAGAGTTTCACGCTGCGTGGAACGAAACTCGTACGTACGCGATCAGCTCGACCGAGGCCGCCGGCCTTCCTCTGCGTATCGGGCCCCGCTGCGTGTTTCGCGCCGGCCGACAGCTTCTCTCGTCGCCTTCGTGATAAAACCGGGCGGCTGCTCGCGACGACAACGACGACGACAACGACAACGGCGACGGCGACGGCGACGGCGACGACAGCAACGACAGCAACGACAACGACGACGTTGACGACGTTGACGACGGTACGACGTCCGTTGGTGCTCTATACGTGTCCTGTGTACGAGCCGGCGGAAAGCGCACGTAGCAAACGCGCACGCATACCGCACGCATACCGGCCCGCACACGCGTGCATCCCGCGGAGGCGCGAAATCGTCCCGGTCCGATACTCGACGTGGTTCCGCGCGGGAGACTCGCGATGCGTTCTCGAGGCAGTGTACCGTAAAGAGTTCTCGCAGCTACGGCGACGACGGCGGCGGTAGCGGCAAGAAAACGCGCCAATCGCGCGTCCGGTGTTCGCGTGGTGCTTCACGCTCGGCGGTTTGTCGCACAAGAGGAGAGGGAGGACGGAGGAAGCGGGGGAGGAGGAGGAGGAGGAGGAGGAAGAGGAGGAGGAGGAAGTGGTGGAGGAGGAGGAGGAAGGGCAAGCGAGGGTGGTAGCGACGGGAGAGAGGAGTGACGCATGGATGACCGCACGAGAAATCGAGAGCTCTCGGTGAAGTGACATTTGTTTTCGCTTCCCTCACAAACGCAGCGTCTCGAGAGGGACTGTCGCGTCTCCCCTCTCCCCTTTTGCGCGGACGCCCGCCCTGTGATTCGACTCGAGCGACGAATGACGAATTCGGTGAGGGCCAGGTATAACGATCCTGGCTCGTCAGGGAAAATCGGAGTCGTAGGCGGGGCCTAGGGTCGGTGGACACGTGACACGGAAACTGTCACGCCGCCCTTGCCCTCCCTTCGTTTACCCCCCTCCATGCGACCGAAATCCAGCGCGACCGACCCACGCTTCTACCGTGGGTGAACGTGTCGTCCACGGACGACGCCCGAGAGAGAGAGAGAGAGAGAGAGAGAGAGAGACTCGCACGTGTGTGCGTGTGTATGTGTGCACGAAGGGTTTCCACGCGGAATTACACTGGGAAATCCCACGATGTGGGACTAAGACGATCACGAATGCTCCGGAGGATTATACGTCAACTATGCGTTTACAGCGTGCATCGAATGCGTTCCTCGTGTCGAATGCGACGCTCTGACGGAATTTTCGGACCGTGCGACGCGATACTCTCGCAGCAGCGGAGAATGCTCCTGTTATCGGTTCCCTGTCGATTCGCGGGGAGGCCGAGCCATTCCGGGATTTAAATAAACTTCTTTAACTTCTGTAATTAAATAATGCGCATCCGATTTCACTATCGCTCGTCGCTTCCACTGTGTTTTTCGCCTCGCCTTGCTCTCACAATACCACTACAGCTAATCGACGACCGATCTAATCATCCGACAATCGCAATCCGACGATTGTACAAGCAATTCGTGTACATCGCAGGGCGATGATGCCGTCGTGGTCGTACGAGAAACACCACTGCGGTGTCGAATCGGTGTGAACCTCCCGAGAATGCAGCAGGCCAGTGTAGGTGGCTACAACGAGGACTCCGACACGACGAGTCCCCTGGCGAGATCGCCGGTTGGTTTCGCCATCAAGAGCGAGCCCGGCATAGACAGGAACGACGGTGTAAGGGTCAAAGTCGAGATGCCCGAGCCCACGGAGGCCGGCGTCGAGATCAAAGGTGAGCCCCGGGAGGATTATCAGCGGCAGCAGCTGAGCAACGACGGTTATCACTACGGCGACAAGAAGCCGGGATACGTTCTGGACGCCCCCGGACAACCGCCACCGCCGCCGCTGCCGCATCATCAGGGATACCGTCCCGTCGGGCTGCCTAACTCTTTCGGCTTCCCGCCTTTTTACGGGCATCATCATCCGGCTATGATGCCGTCGTTTCCAACCGGACGCCCGTCGTCGGACGGCCCGATCGGCAAGATCGGCGACATCCACGAGCAGACGACGTCGTCGCACATTGATCGACATGCGGCTGCCGCCGCCTACGGTAGATTGCCACCGATTCCCAACGACGGCTTCCTGCACGAGCCCCATCATCATCGCTTTGACGCTGCCGACTTCCAGCACGGTGTACCGTATCCGGGCTTCCGGCCCGCAATGCGTTCCTACGGCAATCATCAACAGAACAACAGCGCCTACAGCAGAAGCAGCCACTATCACCAGGCTAGACAGCGCAAGTGGAACAGTTCCGCATTTCGTGGTCTTCATCCACCGATGCCCGTGAGTTTGCTCCCTTTTCCTGTTTTTTCCTTCATCGAAAGATCACTGAAATTTTTTTTTATTTTTAAACACTGTTTGACGAAAGATTAATATTCGTTTCTATCTTATGTCCATTTCTACCAATGTAAATTGACTTTAATCTCGGTTTAACTCACTTTGTTTCTTTTCCCTGTTCTAAGAATTAGAAAATGATAAAGAGTAAGTAAAACCGAGATTAAAGTTAATCTACTATTGGTAGAAGCAGATATTAATGTAGATTAACTTTAATCTCAATTCAACTTCTTGTTCGGTTCAGAATACGCTTTTATCGATAAATGTGCGCTTTTATCTCTAAAATTCTATAGTAACGTGAATTATGTGGCTGAATACGCGTTTATATTGTTATAAACGCGAATACGAGCCTTTACCTATTTCTAACTCTAATAATTAGAAAAAAAATGAAGAGTGAGTTAAACCAAAATTAAAGTTAAGATGGTTCTTTAAAGCCGAAAATTTGAATTGAATGATGCCTCACCCCCAGAGCTCACCAAATGAAATAGTTGGAACATACGATAGTAAAGAGCTGTATCTTTATCGAACGAAAACAAAATGAGATGTTTACTTTTCGAGGTTAAATTTATATGCAAATAAGTTTATGTACGTAAATGATTGTTGACCTATTACTTTTTCGTGATCATTAAAATCGTAATTTAAACTATTTCTAATCGCGTTTTTAAGAAAAATCTAAAAATTTGTGTGCAATTATCAAACAAGCGTCTGCGAGCCTTATCTGTTATGAAAAGTTATGTACATTCTTAAAATTTTTTTTCTCTCTTCATTTCATCGTTATCTACCGTAGAATTTTGCCCACGTCAATTTCAGTATTATTATATAAAAAAATTAGACATTTCTGGTAACTCAATTTACACAGAACCACTTTCTATAATATATTGATAGAAACGAGCATCAGTCTTAATTCTTACAGATAAGTACGAAAGCAAAAATCCAGTTGTTCGAAATACTTATAACTTATAAGATTTAAATGGGATCGTCAACTAATATAATAATTATTAAATTGTTTTTGATGTTATTCGAGTATAAGGGAATCCACGTGACGATATCTGCATACTTTATGTTATAAATAGTACAAGACACTCGTTATCTTTTACACTCGCTTTTTTATACCCACAGAAATTAACGGTATTCATAAAGAGGTTATTCTTGTCTCTTGAAAGCATAAGTTTTTACTCTCATGTAGCAATCTGTAATCTCACGTCATCATTTAAAAGCTCTTGAAATTACGTTGCGCATTCTTTTGAAGATTGCAAAACAAGAAATCACGCTTTGACCGATGCGCTTTAGTTATGTGTATTTCGTATTGGATTATACGATTATATGGAACGGTATGGCACTTAAGGAAGGAACAATACCTCCGTGACGAAAGCGAGAATATCGCGTTCGCTGCGATCGCGCGATCTTATTGAGACTCGATAAAATCGGTAATCGGAGAATGGCGATAGTATATACGGCATATCGACGTAGGCGGCAGTAGAAATTTTATTTTTTTGCCCGCCGGCGTGCGTACGAATTATCGCCGAGAGGCGCGTGAAATTTCCGATCACGCAACCTGTACGTTGCATCTTCTATTTCGTGCAAGCGACGCGTTATCGTGCCCAAACGTAAATTGTCGAAATTTCTTAATCCATTGTAGATCAGGTCGATTGGTACGCAATGGTCGATTTACACGAATATGTCTGTTAAAAATGATATAAATTGACAGTATATTTCGATCTGAATACAAATCTGTGTATAAGATAAGTGATTCCTTCTTGATTCAAAAAGGAATACAAGTATACAGTTAGAAATTATTTAAATATCGTTAAAAATTAGATTACATATTATAAAAGCTTGCACACAGATTGTTTGTTAAATCTTTATTGTAAATTCTGTATATGTCGATATAATTCTAAAAATTATATTAAAATATAAGTATATAAATTTTTACGTATGTATATATACGATGTATATAAACAAATTTAAAAATTTAGAAATCGAGTGAAGAAAATAATAAGTTGTTTTCATCACTCCGAGCTCCGCATTTTTACATTTATTCAATGTTATTCTTTTGAATAGCAATATTGTTACCGATTAAAAATTAGGTTGCTGAGAGTATCATGGGTATAGGCTATAGCATACAGATAAAGGGTACGTTCATAAGTAAAAAAAGTGCATGTCGAGGGTAAGAAAGTGCTACGTAACGCGAAATCGACCGCAATTAGCACGTCACGGCGTGTTATCGTTAGGCGACCTGTAAAGAGCAGTGTGAGGTTACGCTGACATTAATCTTTTTCAATTTTATGACAGCCAATCGGTGTTACGATTCGTACATCTATCATATCCTAAGTATATTGATGTATCTACTGGAAATATAAAATTATTTTCTCGTTAATTAACGTTTTAACGAGATTTCTTAAAAAGGGAAAAATAATATTTTCCAACCATACTTTAATGTCAAAACACGTAACTTTTGTAATTATATTATATTTATTTATGCAAATACATTAGAAATTTGTTTCTTAATGTAATTTGATCACGTCTTCTGTATTTATTTACGAATACAAATAAGAATAAAGCAATAAAGGTAATAATTCACGGAACGGCGAATAAAAATTATCTGTCTATGATTAAAGTACACCCAGAAATCCCTTTCTTGACGTAATTTGATCACGTCTTCTGTAACGGAAGGCTTAAAGAAAAATTAAAGGTGATGTCTTACCAGCTTCCCACGATTTTGCTTCCGTAGGACATTGTACGGGGCTTCGATTGAAATTGCCGGGCCGAGATGAAGGGTTAATGAAATCGGACGGACGTCGCGATCGGCCTGGACAAAAATTGCGCCCTGATCGAAATTACAGTGATTATACGCACCGCGGTTTTGCCCCTCGGGGGAGGACTGCGGCGAGCACCCTCTCGCCGTCCCTCGGAAGGGAACTCTCCTCCCTCTCCTCCTCCTTTCATAAGCTGGTAGAGTGATACAGAACTCATTGAGAGTTCGGCCGATTATAAGCGGGAAACACGGACGGCGATGGCGAGCGATGGTGGGTCGGTTCGCTCGACGATTACCGTAACGCCGCGCTCGTAAAACAGATGCGCGTGCTCGGCGTCCATTATGACGTAATCCGCCGCTTCTTATAATTTATCGTCGGCCAGAGAATGAGCGAGAGCGAGCAGGGCCATGGATAAATATCGTTCGAAATTTCAGTTAAGCGGCCGCATTAATTTGCGGAGCGACGATTAGCTCGTCGAACTTGCCGATTTCGCCTCGCAGTTTTCGACGAGAGCCGAGGATTAAACGCGCGCGTGCCACCTCTCGTCTCGTTCGGTTCTTTCGCTTTATGGCATTACCGTCGCGTTCCCAAATTTATGACGCCAGAACGATTCAACTGGTGGCTTTCGTAAAATGCACGGCAGATTTCGCGCGTAATACAACCGATCCGAACAAGCACTCGAACGTTTGCGCGACTCGATGTATCTATAGAACTTTAACGCTTAAAGAGTTTCACGAGAGCGAGACCTTATCAGCGATCATACGAATCGGCGTCGATCGGCTAGGCGTGACTCACTCTCACGAGAGATCTATCGCTTGTTCGCGCTCGCGGAAAGTATGAGAAATGCATTAGCTTGAGTATCGTGCTGGTAAAACGTTTCTGCGGGAAGTACCTGCTTGGCAATCTTAATTTGTATCGTAATTTTCAATGCATTTTCAATTTTAATATGCATTCATCACAATCGATTTTTTTTTTAATAAAAATATTACAGAATTGTTTTTTATGTAATTATCATTACATTAGAAATTTAATTAAAAATATAATTATGTGTCAGTCTATTTAACAGAATAATTAAAATATATAGATTAATCATAAAATTTCTGACAAGTAACGTTTCTCAAGCTTTCTGTTAACAAAAAAAAAATCTGACCATCCATTCATTATTTATGATTAACAAAAAAAGTTTGATGAAATTCAAATTCCCAACAATGGTAATAATAATAATAATTTTAATTATCCAATAATTACAATTTTAGAAATGGTTAATTCCTCGTTGACTGTTTAGTTTCCATATGAAGCTCTTCATTCCATTCAACTGGAACGTATCCGAATGTACTTGCAACGGAACGATTTAACGCGTATGCAGGCATTTTATATAATCGGCGCGATCGGTGCTCGTTCCAAAAACAGGGCGACAGCTAGGCAAGACGACCGAGTCTATCGAGCGTTTATGGCATCCGGGTCGAAAGTGCTTCGCGAACTAATCTGCATACCGTTTCGTCCAGCGTAACGATCCGCGTTCGTCTTCCACGAATACGCACCTGTATCGAGATAACGTTCCGTATAACGTACGACCGCAACGAATAAGGGCAATGAATCGGAGCCGATTCCCTTCGGCTCTGCTCTTTTCCTCTTCTGTGCGCTCTAGATCTTACGACGAAGCTCGCGGACCCGAAGGCGCGAATCAGTCTATAAATTTCCGTAACCGGAAAGCGCACCTGCGGGTCTCGCGAAACGATTGACACGTCGCGATAACGACGGGACATTTATTACGCGACAAACGTCAATTCTTTTCCGAGAATGAGTGAATTTATTTTAAAATCTTAGTTATATTGATTCAAGAAAGATGATCGCGCGATGATTCTAGGAGAGATTACAAGATTAACATTAAGAAAACAAAATCCAGCAGTGAGAAAAAGAATATTCATTTGACTAAATTAATTTAGTTTGTCTTTATTTCTTTCGATGAAGAATATAAATGATATTTAAGTCAATTATATTTTATTTGAATTCTTTTGTATGAGGAGCATATTTTATTTAACTTCATCAGTAAGATTTTTCTTCGCATGTTTAACGTAAATAATAATTCTTCGTGCTCGCTGTATTTTGTAATTATTAATATTGTAATCTGTTTGTCTTGTCGCATAAACCTACACACATAAAGTGCTTCAATGTTAATTGACGGTTATTATA